GTGTCCGAGGAAGAGGAGGAGGAGGAAGCGAAAGCGGGAGTCTCAGCAGGACGAGGACGTGAGTGAGCCTCCCAGTGGCCTGGCCAGCGTCCTGCAGCAAGAGCGTCCAGCTCTGGAGCTGAGTGGCCACGCGCCTCACGTGAACGGTAAGCAAGGCAGCTTCTGTCTGGGCACAGCCTGATGTGACCAGGTGGCCACTTGTCTTCTGTCTGCAAGAGTCTGGCTCGGGATGCGACAGACGTGAACACTGCAGGGTCTTCTGGGCCGGAATTGCCCGTCCGTGCCTCCAGCCTGTGTGCCGTGGGGCTACCGGGCATGCTGCTGGCCTCTCCTTTCCCTGCTGCAGGGCCTGCATCAGGCGCAGTGAGAGCAGGTGGTCCTCCAGTTAAGGCCCCGTCAACGAGACAGAGAAACCCAGCAGACACCCCAAGCTTGGTTCTGCTTGCCCAGCTCCCAACAAAGCCCAGTGTGGACAGGTGGGGGCTGGTAATCAGTGCACAGAAGGCCCCTGCCGGGCAGTGGGGGAGGCCATCTGCAGGCAGCGTGGAGGGAAAGCTCATGATCTGCCCGGGGCGCTGGGCGGCAGGTCGGGTCATTCAGACAAAGGTAGTTTGGAGCCCACGTGGGGGCCAATGAGACACCTGTGGGCGGTGTGGCTACAGAGGGTACTGCACCCCAGAGGGCAGCATACCTGTGGAGGGGGGGGCACCCTGCAGGTGAGGTGCTCAGAGGCATACTCAGAGGGGGGCACCCTCAGGGAGGCCCTAGAGGGACACCTGCAGGGGGTGACCCTGCAGCCACCAGCTCTGTGGAGCTGAAGGGCTTGTTCTGTAGGCTTGGCAACCTGGGCTGAGAGGCAGCAGAGGCCGGCCTTGCAGATGGTCCTGTGCCCAGGCCCTGCACCTGGCTAAGGGCCAGGAAGGGAACCCAGAGGTGGGCCGTGGACAGACTTGAGAGAGGCGAAGTCCCCTAGAGTCAATGCTGGGCTGAAGGGGCACCGTCTGTAGTGAGGTCAGTATAGTTGTGGGTGGACCCAAGCAAGAGACAGGGCCACCAGCTCAGAGGTTGTTTTCTGGACCCCAAAAAGGGTCTGAACGTGAGACTGAGGGGGGAGACCAAGCCCCTACTGGCCTCTTTGGCCCAACTGATCTGGCCTGAAGTGTCTAGTCCCCTCCCATGTATAAGAGTGTGGGGTGGATTGGCTTTTTCTCTAATTTGTTTCTCAAGTGCTCACTTGGCCCTCGCCCTGTCCAGGAGAGGCCACTTCATGGCCCCTCAGTCTGGCACCCGGTCTCCCTGTGAGAAAACAGCGGGCTGTGAACATGTGTCCTCCACTGCTCTTCCTGCAGGGCAGACGCACGTCCCTCCTGCACCCTGGAGCGTGGAGAGAGAGCCTGACGTGGTCCGGGAGTTGCTCAAGTTCTCATCAGATAAAGCTTACGGGAGAAAAGGTACCAGCCTGGGGCTTGGCCCTCTCCCTCTGACGGGCTGTGCTGGGGCGGGCGGGACCAGCCCAGCCCTGAGTGTGTTGCAAGCGGAGGGTCAGAGCAGCATGGCCGCAAAGTGGGAGAGCTGTCCACAGGCTGGTTGCCTCCCCCCACAGGGCACAGCCACTTCACAGTGTCGGCACTCGGAGCACGTGGCCCGAGGGGCAGGGCGGAGAGGGAAGGGCTCTCTGGTCCCGGTTTCCCGGGGTAACACAGCACAGGCTGCCTGGTTCATAGCTTGTGGCCTGTTTCTGGGGAGACAGTCCCCAGCAGGCTCACCCCCTTTTGCCCTGTGTTGTCACGGAGAGAGAATGGCTGGTCGGGACAAGGCCAGTCTAACCCATAAAGGAGGCCACCCACACCAGGCTGACAGCTTATCTGTCCCGTAGTCTTGACGTGGGAGGGTGAGCTGTCAGCGGTCAGTCGGGACGCCATGGAGGACAGCAGACTGGCCCGGAGCCAGATGGTGACGGATGATTGGGATGAAGACTTCGACCGAGGGAAGGTAGCGTCTGGTCACTGGGTGGGCTGGCAGAGGCAGCGGTGGGGAGTGGCCCCAGGCAGGCCACGTTCAGATCCCAGCTCTACCTCTTGCTGGTCGTGTGCCCACCTTTCATCCCACTGGGTCCTCAGCTAGGAGGAGGGGTGGTCTGGGAGCTACCACCTAGGCCCCCGGGAAGGTGAGGATCACAGCACCAAGAGCCAAACCCAGGGGTCCTGTCACCCGGAGCCGAGTTGCCCCAGGATCTCCCAGGCCGCCCAGGTCCTCCGTACCAGGCTGGTGGCCAGTGGGCCAGCCGGCCCTCCTCCCACGGTGGGTAGCCATTTGCGGTGACGAATGCCCCCTGCCCGTGCCTCTCACCGCTCTGGTCCTTGAAACAGGAGAAGAAGATGAAAAAGCTGCGGAGAGAGAAGAGGAGGAACGTGAACGCCTTCCAGAGGCTTCAGAGCAGGCGGAACTTCTGGGGTGCGACTCACCCGGCAAAGGCCGCCAGCCTCAGCTACCGCCGCTGAGCTCCCACGACGCAATGGTCAGCCAGGGTGGCCAGGCTGTGAGCACGTGTGGGCGTGTGCACGGGGGAGCATGCACGCTTGGTGTGCACGGGTGTGAGCAGAGTGAGGGCGGGCTGTGCTCGTGCCTGAGTTGTGTTCCCTTGTGGGTTTCGGTGAGGGTGTGCAAGTGAGCACTGGAGCATGAGTCTAGGGGAGCGATGCCTGTGTTGGGCGCAGCCTGGAGGGGTGGGAGTGGGGTTTGCGGTGCTCATCGCCCTCTGCCCTGTGCCCCCAGACTCCTGGAGAAATGGCGGCATCCCCTCCCGGAGCCCTGCACTAACGAGCACCCTGTGGGGACCTACTGTGGACCTGCCTGCTGCTTGCTGTCTGCGGGCTCCAGAGAGGGAGGCTGGGGGCCTGCTCGCCACAGCGGGACAGCTTGAGCAGAGGGCCTCCAGGGATGCTTGTCAGGCCTGTGAGAGGACGCAGAGGACAGGCCATCTGCACTGACTGAGCCCAGTGCCCACAGACAGTGGGGCCTCTTTCCCTAGAGAGGGCAGTCGCCCACCTGCTGCCCAGTGCCACCTCCTGGTTCCTCTGGGCCAGGCCCTGTAGCAGCCTCACCCTGAGTCTGAGCTAACCCAGCAGTTCATCCGGAGTCCTGGAATGCTCTCTGGTGAGGTGGCCTGGAGCGTGGAGCCCTCCTGTGTCCTGCTCCCCTCGACCAGGCCTGCGGCTTCCATTGACCTTGGTCTCCCCTCCCCCACACCCAAGTGCCAGCTCTGTCCCCTGCCTACTCACCAGCCCTCTGTCCATGCTATCCTGCAAGTGCTTGTGGACCTAAATGATTGTATAACCCAAGAATTTTTTTAATCTTGCTCAAGCTGTGCCTGCAAACTTGTAACAAATGTGGAACTCCGTTAGGGACTTCAGGAGGCCGGCCAGAGGCCTCCTGTAGAGGGGGTGGCAGCAGTTCTGGAAACGACTCCAGCCCGGCCTCTGGCCCCGCTCTCCCTCGGGGGAACCCCAGAGGTGGGAGAGATCTGGGGCTTGGCCCGTACCTCAGAGGGGTGCTTGTCATCAGACCTCCACAGCGCCCTTATCTGGCAGCTGGCTCTGCCCCTCTCCCTCGCCTGCCTCTGCTCTCTGCTCTGGGCCTGCTGAGCAGATGGCAGGAGAGACATGGCACTTACCCGTGGCTGCCTCCCAATTCCTCCTTTTTAGATTTCTCTAAAGTGGGGCCGGGAGGCCATACTTCTGGGGCCTGGACTGGGAGCTGACTCTGAAGGTCATTGTGTTCAAAGCTCCGCGTTCCCGTGGCGCTGTGGAAGCAACCTCTTGGGGTTGGCACTCATTCCCAGGGGGGCCATTTCCCAGCTGTGGACCCCTCACATCCCCGGATCAGGAAAGGAAACTCCGTGGACCTTGTGCCCACCCGCCCAGAATGTGTGTGCTCCGTTCCTCGCCGTCCCTTCTCTGCAGAAAGCACCCCCCTTGCGTCTGTGCGGCGGGGCCCGCTGGCTTGGCTTTCGACGATGCTTCATCACTGTTTGTGGGGCCAGCCTTTCCCTTCGCAGTCAATCACTAGCCAAACTGGGAAGGGCAAGGACACAGCCCCAAATGAACCCATGTTCTAGGCCGTGTGTTGTGGGTACATCTCAACCCACGTGGACACGTACCAAGCCTCTGCAACAGCAGTCCCCTGGCCGGCCTAGAACCTGGGCTCCACCTGATGCCACGGGGAAGCTGAGCCAGAGGCGGGCTGTGGGACCCCACCAGCTGTGCATAGAGGTCTGCCCCACGCCCCGAAGGAAGGGTCGGGGCCCCGACGTTGCCTAGACCTTGGTGCAATAAAATAAACCATTTTGTGACCCTGCCTGTGCTTGTCTTGCCTTTGATTGTAAAGCCTTACACCGAAGCCCCCCGCTGCCAGTGTCTGCAGTTCCATACAAGGTGGTCTCTGGTGCCTGCTTCAGAAGGCAGGAAGGGGAACCCTCAAGCCTCCGGGCTGAAAAGCCCCAGGCAGGGTCAGAAGACGGCACTGGGCGGCTCCCTGCAAGCAGGGAGCTTGATTCCCCGAAGCAGATTCCGTTGGGCTTTGTCTCTGAGCTGAGCAAGGTCTGACCTGCACTGAGGTGAGCCTGTCACCTGGGCTGAGCTGAAAGCTACACTTTCTGCATAGGCAGGAGCAGGGGCACAGTCTGGCAGCGCCTTGCTTGGCTAGAGCGTAGACGTGGGAGCTGCAGCACGCTCCACATGTCCCTGACCTGGCCCCTACCCTAAGTGGGTGGCCAGTAGCCCGTGTCCCCCAGCAGCAGGTCCCCGGGCTTGCTAAGGACAGGTTCCTTGGTGTGGACCGGGGTTTTCTGTAAAGCCCAAAAGTTTAGACTCAAGACAGGGGCTCTGTTGGTGTCAGGCAGAATGTGGTGGAAACACTGAGGAGAGGACGAGGGCCGGGGACCAGGAGGTGAGTCCTGGGGCTCCTGTAGGAGGCAGGTTTCCCGCTGGAGGGGGTATTATAGCTACTGCTTGGCAGGCAGCAGCCTCTCAGAGCTCCACCCACAGGTGGACACCCAGAGTCTCGGGAAACAGGGCTGACTGTGAAATGGGATCATGTTTTTCCTGCCATTTTTTCCAGGGGGTGCAGTGGTAGAAGCTTGGTTTTTCACCCTGCCCACCCCCACCCACCAGCTGCTTGACCCCCGAGGGTGAGGGGAGAGGCTGTGTGCTCGGAAACCCAGTGGAGCCGGGTCTGCTCTGCGTCCGAACGGCTTTCCGTGAGGACAGACTCCGTGGCAGTGAGTTGGTTTGCCTGTGGTTCCCTTGCTTTCCTTTTTCTCCTGAGGACCTGGGTAGCCCATCTCACCGGTTCCCACCCTCCAGCCTGGCCCCGCTGCCTCCCCTTCCCCAGACCCCCAGCCCTCAATGAAGACAAGACACTCTCGTGACATCATTGCCAGGCAGAGCGTGCCTCCTGGTTTCTCAAGAGCTGTAGGGTCAGCTGTGCGCCCGTGATGTCCAGAGCGGGGTTCTGAGTGACCTGTGATCGTCAGCCCACGCAGAGTGCTGGGTTACTGAAATGCTTACTGCTCTCGAGATGTTAGGCACGATGGCCGTTCCTCATTCTTCTGTGTCCTTTGAAAGGCCTGGCTCTGCCCCGAGCCGGCTGCCTTTGGAGGCTTCTCACCAGAAACCGAGGTTACCGTCCCCTGCCTGTGCCCAGGGCTTCCTGCTGTAATGAGGGGCTGTTGAATCCACTAACTCGAGGCCAGTCTGCGTCCTGTGCGCCCGCTGGTGGGACTCAAACCGCCGACCTTCCAGTGAGCAGCCTGGCATGTCCCTGCCACAGCACCAGGGCTCCTTGTTAAAATGCCAGACCCGCACCATCCAGCGGGGTTTCCAAGGCCATAAAGCCTATTTTTTACAATCTTCATCCCACTTTAGGTGAAAGCTTACACAGCCTGTCAGTCTTCCGATCAATTGTCCACCCACGGTGTTCTGTGCCACGGGTCGCCGTTCAGTGAAAGGTTAGCACTGTCCCTAGTTCCTCCTGGGGTGCCCAGCTCCCCCGCCCCTCCCTGACGTCTCAGCCGGGTTTGGGACAGGTGTTGCCCCCTCTGGTCTCTCCCAGCTGAGGGGCCGAGTAGCACACTCCTCACAGCTGTGCTGGCTTCTGGGCCCAGCCGTGACCGGCTAGAAGCTGGCCTCTGGGGATCTTCAGCGTCCAGTTTGAAGGTTGCCTCGGGGAATCCTCTGGACTCCCTCCACTCTATTTCCAGACCCGTGAATCTGTTTCTTTTTAATTCGAAGTTTCTTCTACATTTTGTATCCTCTCTAAGTGGTGCCTTCTACTGTGGCCGTGGTTGGAGCAGTGGGTAGCAGGTTCGGTCTCCGGTTCAGGAGGTTGGCAGTAGTTTGGACTGACGGTTGCCCGAGTCCACCTTTTCCTTCCTACTGCTCGGCGCCACACGGAAAGAGACCCTGAAGACCCCTCAGGCTATGCACCTGACCGTCATGCAGAGCACCTCCATGACCATAAACTATTTGGACCCTCCACTCCCGCTCCTATGCGAAGGCTTCCGTGTATACGGATGGATCATCAGGTCTTAGGAGAGACCTGTGGGTTTCCTTAACGGCCAAGCGCTTAACCATTCCACCATCACCAGGTGCTTGGCTCCTTCCTAGTGACTCGGATATTGGAAGATGGGGCAAAGTGGACACACTGCTGGGGGATGCATGGCTGTCACCAAGCCTCTGGACTGCCGAGAAGGTGACTCGCCTACCCTCCACGGGTGGGTGGGGGGGTGGAGTGGGGGGGCATCACCTGCTCCAAAGGTCTTCTTGCCCTGCCTGCTTCCCTGAGCCTGAGGTTCAGCCGCCCCTTTGCTTTCTCACCCAGGAAAACAGTTAGGTAGGGTCTCTTGGGCAGGGAGTACACCCCCTTGGTGTCCCGAGAAGGCTGCCCAGGTTTCCGGACCAGTTGTCTCTCATTGGGCACCATCAGCTTCCATTGCAAGCAGATCTGCAGCTCCATCCACGCACAGGGCAAAGGACGGGCTTTGATAGAATGAAATGGGAGTGGAGGGTTTCGACTCGAGACAGCGCTCCAGTGAAGGGCTGGGGAAGCAGATTTCCAACTGTCATTGACACCTATCACATGCCCTCTCTCCTGTCATTCCATCCCCAAGTCCCGAGACAGAACTGGAAGGTCCGAGGCCAGTTCTCCTGGGGCTGGTGCCCTGGGTTTACCAAGGACACCGGACTAAATACCTGCTCCAAACACTGCCCAGCCCCACACACCTGGCTCCCCTGTTGCCCTTGGGGCAGGTGGTAACCCTGACTGGCAGGCCCGGGTTGACCCATTCTTCCTGATACAGCCTTTCTGAGGGTCTTCCCTGCCCACCTCTGCCCTGAGCAGGGCTTCAGGGATTGCTGAGGGCCCTCAGGTAGCACCTGTGTTGACAGGCACCTCGAAGTGGTCTTGGATTCTTGTTAGGTCACTCTCTGCAATATGTCCTATTCTACAGTCGTAGGCATAGTGGTTACAAGTCGGGCTACTAACAGCAAGGTCAGTCGTTCGAGACCAGCTGCTGCTCCTCTGGAGCAAGACAAAACTTTCTCCTCCCACACAGAATCACAGGCGTGGAAACCCACAGGGGCAGTTCTACTCTGAGTGGGCATCGGCTCAGCCACAATGAGTTTTGAGTTTATAGTCTCCTCCCCTCCTGTCCTTCCTTCTCCTTTTCCTTTAGCACAGGGGTGGGGAACGCCTGGCCCATGGGCCATGTACCACACTCCAAACCCCCTCCCAACCCCCTTACGGTATCGAGTCAATTCCAACTGAGAGTGCTCCACTATGACAGGGTAGAACTGCCCCTGTGGGTTTCCAGGACTGTAAATCTGTCTTGTCTTTCTGCCAGGGAGCGCCTGGTGGATTTAAACTGCTGAATTTTGTGGCTTGAAGCCTCATGCCTAACCCACTGCACCAGCAGGGCTCCTGTTGGCCAGTCCACGCCAGCTCACGTCACCAGGCCCACCAAAGAGGAGCAGTTCCATCCATCACATTAGGGTGAGTGGATTGAAGACTTGACCAGTAAGGCCCATGAGTGATGTTATAAATATCTGAGTGGCCTTGGGCAGAAGGAAGGTCCCCTGCCCCTGATTTAGCACCTTGGGGTATGGGGGGAAGTTGGGAATCACAGAGAACAGGGGCTATGACCTCTTCTTTCTCCTAGGTCCCCAACTTGCCCCTTCCACAGGGGTCCCAACACCTCATTCCCCATTAGGGAGAACTGGAGGGGAGCCCTGGCGGTACTGTCAGGGACTACCTACCACAAGGTTGGTGGTTCAACCCCACCATCCTCTCTGTGAGAGAGAGACGAGACTCTCCTGCTTCCCTACAGATTCTCGGCCCTGGAAACTCAATATTGGCCCATATGAGTCTGAGTCAATTCAATGGGATTGGGGCGGGGGCAGGGGGGGCAATCAAATCTCTCAGTGTGGTGTCTTAGGCTGTGATTGATTTCTAAGAGTCAGTTTAAAACACCGAATACGTGGATAGGGCACACGTTTATCAGGTATGTCTTCAGTCTCTACTTCTGTCTGAGCCAACCAGTTTGCCCAAGGGCCAGCGAGACCTTGCCCAGTGCCCTGGACCCTGCTAGCCAGTTTGTGAACCCATTTCAGGCTGCTCTCCCCAGCACCACCGACAGTGCTCACAGAGCCTAGGGCTGCAGCAAATGTTTGCTGGACTACTGCCCACAGCACCCCAGAAGGGATGTTGTTACAAACTGAGTCCACAAGATTATGTCTCTCCACAGTGCCTGGCTTATTGAGGGGTTCCGGCTGGTATTCTACCCCAACACAATGCAGCCAATCTCCTCACCCCAAGTCAGAGGGAGGAGGAATTTTTATTGAGAAAGTGCCCCTACGAGGAGTCCGCAGCGGTACAGCACAGACAGGCTTTGTGGTGTCCTGTCTGAAATCACAACACCGAGAACACACCTCCCTGGCTTTGGACTGGACGCTGCGGGGAGGGGCGTCATGGACAAGTGTTTGGCGTTAACTCAGGTTGCAAAGGTGAAGCACGGGAAACCACTGGGGACCACGAGGCAGCAAACAGTCCAAGGCCGTTACGTCTCAGAATGTCTCTCTGTTGACTAGATTCCTTCTCAAACAGGTTAAGAAGAGAAGACCGTCAACCTTAATTGGCCCTGTCAGGTGACATGTGACTCCAACCTGTCTGCTTTTGAGCAATGCAGCCAGGCCCAATGATTCCGTAGAGACTGCGTGCAGTAAAGGGCCTTAGGCCAACTGCATTTGGGCAGGGCGCTTTCTCGAGCTGGATTAACTAAGACAGTGGTTCTCAACCTTCCT